GGTAATACTTCGTTCGGTTTTGTGTGCTGTTTTTCTTATGACATTTTTAGGAAGTAGTGTGCCTCGCTTGTCCGTCTACCCAGATGACTCTACCCTGACCGGAAGTGGAAATGGCTGGAGAAGCGGTGACGGCTGCTTTCAGATTTGGAACGTCATCAGGGTACCGGAGAAGTAACTGATTTTCCCCCCTTCTTAACCCAGCTTGTTCTTAGAAAACCCGCCCTCCGCCCCTGTTGCATGGTGCAGATCAAGGGCCACGGCATGGTGATGAAGCTGAAATGGTGTGCGAAACCCTGCAACACGCCCGAAAAAGGTATTCCGAAGCGCTGGAGCGGAAAACGTTCAATTTGTTAAGATATTGACGCTATCGGCTACCTGGCAGTGGCCACGGCCAGCGGAAAGGTGTTGATCTACCGGCTGGCGGACGGGGTATGCAAATCCGTGGAGGGCAAGTTCCCGCTGTACGCGCCGAAGCCGAACATTGTGTTGTGTCAACAGGATTCTCCCGAGTGGAAGGAGGGATCGGCTGTAAGCCTTTTTTTGAAGTGTCTAACTATTTCTTAGCCCCTCGGTGTGCCGCCCATAATCTCGTTAGACTGGACGTTCTCTCAGGGCGGTGATTTGATTGCGGCGGTCAACGCTGCAGGTATATTCGTATTTGTTATTGGTTTTAATGATGGTTTTCGGTCTTAAGAGCATTAATTTCAATCCGTAAACAAAACGCATGTCATTATTTTCTCATGTTTTCCAGAGGTTTTTATCGCTACCTAAATAATCAAAATCGGCTGTGTCTCCGGGCATTTCAAGCTGAATGCTTTTGCGGTCGCGTTGTAGTAGCGGATCATTTCCATTCCAGGCGCAATCGTCTTCTGGGAGTTGTCGAAGAAGGAGTACGTGACGGATGAGGGGCTACTCGGCGCTGAGATGATAGCCGATACATGGAGCTCGCCGGCTGTTGACGCGTGTTGGAATAGTGATCGGACGCGTGAGGGCTTTGCTTACTTATTGACGCCATGACGCTTTTTTTTCTCAGTTATCTACTGCTCTTTTTAGTCGCCGTCTCGTTCCGCGAGCGCACGATCCGGCTTTTGGACACAAAAAGTGGAGATTGCCTGCTGGAAGAAACTACGGTAAAATAAATACGGCTCTCATTTTGACGACCAATTTTAGGTCCGAACTGCCGGCGCGAAAGCTGCAACCCAGCTCCGTCTGTTCCCCGGTGTCTTCATTTTCCAGGTCCGTTTAGATTTATCCCTCATTTTCATTGCTTTTCCAGGCCGAGCCCTTCGCCACGAACGATTCAACGTTCGCCGGTGTCTGTTATCTGGTGCCCGACCAAAAGAATGATGGATATTTCGTTGTGCCGCTCAGCAATCGGTAACTTTAATTTTTTGATTTTTGCAACTTTTTTTAGACATGAACTCCAAATTTTTGATGTGGCTGCCTGTGCGACGAATGGGCTTCTGGTTTCCTGTGGCGTTGATGGTAGGAATTTCGTATCTTTCCGCAATATCGGGGGCGAAACAAGCTTTTGAAAATCAATCCCATTTTTAATATAAACAAATTAAGTATTTCTCTACTTTTCCTACCATTCATATGCTCAAAAATATGCCTTTTAACTGAAATCTGTAAAAGTATGCAGTCTTCACGACCAAAAATAGCCAGTTTTCTCGTTTTTACTTTTAAATTTTTGAAGTAGTTTTTTACAATTGATGCATAGATCTCTTTTTATTGCAAATTTCAGGCGCGCTTCTCGTTTCAACAAATGGTCGATTGGCCCCCGCATATGCAATGATGGACTTTACCTTCTCTGCCCAACGGAAGGCGCTACAATTGACGAGGTAGAACATCCTGAAATTTTCGATATCGAAGTTTAGGTATCGAATTAATCTACCCTCCAAAGAGCCCGGAATCGCACCCCCACTCCATGATACTCACGAAACGGCCCAACAGTACAGCTGGCTCGATGTTAACACGATTGAATGCGATCGGGTCTGAAATATAACAAAAATTGGATACCGTTGTTAGGTACCAATGCACCACGGCACGGCTTCGTGCGGTGATCTACGACTGGAGAGCCTGAACGTCGTCGCGACGAGCTACGGCGACGACCCGGTGATGGTGACGGGCGGCCAGGCGGGCTTGCTCTTTATGCTGCCGTGTGCGCTGTGATTTCCCCCGGACGTGCACTCATTTTAACAAGCTTTAACTTTAATGCTTTATGATTATCACTGTTGTCCAAGGTTATTCCTTTATTCATACCCTGATTGTTGTTCTATTCATCGATATCTCCCCGTTGTTGCTACTTTACTTTAAGACAAACGTTATTACTAGTTGATAAATTGTTTAAAATATTGCCAAAATATTTTTACATCTTTTTTGACGTTTTTTTAATGCTCTCCGCTATTTCCAGCCATCTTCATCGATTGCCATAAATTCACCCCGACCTCGAGCGGGAGCGATCCAAGGAGACATGTGCGGCTCGACGATCGTTTTTGAGGCAGTATGTTTGTGTCTCTGTCCGTCTCTCTGTCTGTCTGTTCCGTGGCTCCAGTTTTGTCCCTCTACGCGACACACACACCACAGTGTAAGGGGTGGCTAGAGGGGGGGGGAATAGGGCCGTCAGTTGGCCCTCCCCTCCTAGTCGGTGGGTGGAAAAGCCCGAGGAGGAGGAGCAAGAGGAGCTATATGGACCGAGGGCATCTCGGTTGATAAGTGGATCAGAGAGGGGGTGGTAGTGGTAGACAGCGAAAAGTACTGGTAACAGGTTGAAAAAGGCGTAAAAAAGAGCCGTTTTAAAGCGATCGGAGGTCTGCTGTGTTTTTGAAGGGTTCTAAAGCTTGAAAATTGCAAATGGAACGTCTTAGAATCTCTAAGAGGGAATAAAGTGTTGAAAAATTCTTTAGTTTCTTTAGTACTTTTAGCATACTCCAAAAAATACGCGGTATTGCGCGAAATATATAAACTTGTTATAAAGTTGTTTTCGCTGCAAAATTGCACGATGCCCCTTTGTACGCCCTTACCTATTGCCGCGCTTCATTTTTAGCTTTTTACTTCCGACGCTTTTCTGAAATAAAATTTCGGTTCCTAGTCAATTCAAACTACAAAAAAATGGCTTTCTTAACTGTAAAAATGATATTTTAGAGTTCCGATTAATTGCCCACCCCCATGCCCGAAATGTTTCGAATTTAGCCGAGAAGTGGCTGCCTGGGCTGCCTGTTGCTGTGGCATCTTGTGGATAGTTGAGGGGTGGGGCCTGTGTGCCCTGAGGGCTGAATCATGGCCCTCCTCCTCCCGGTTGGCCCTCCTCCTCCACCTCCTGCTGCTCCTCCCCTCCCTTCATTTGCTCGTCCTCCTCCCCTTTGCGGCTGCACCCCCTCTCCGCGACACAAATCCACAGGTACTGTATTCCCGGCCTGTCGCTGTGCCTTTAAAGAAACGAAAAAGGCAGTGCTACGGATTTTTGGCTGAATTACTAGCAGTCGTGTCGCTCGGAATTTGAAGGGGCCGGCAAGACACGGAAATGGCTTTTTGCTATGGATTCTATGGATTTTTCTGCCGCGACACGCGACGCGTCCGCTCATCCCTTAATTTTGGAAAGGATTTTCGTCCCTTTATGAGGAGCGGCTCGCGTTGCGTGTCCAGTCCATATAAATTTTTGTCTTTCTGATCCCTTTAAAAGGTAAATAAAAATATTAAATCCGTGGTTTTAATTATTAAAGATCTGTAATTCAGTTGGCTGTAGATAAATTAATAAAATTTCTGGATTTTGACTTTTAAAAAAGTAAATAACTTTAACTTTTTTATCTTTACCTGCTTCTGTCTGACTGTTTTTAACGTTCAGCGTTTTTTTATTGAATTTAACGATAGTTTGAGGCCATAGATGACTAAAAAAAGCTTTCCCTCGCTTTGTTGGTAGTTTTAGGTTTTTTCTACCACGAAAACCCAAAAATTATGGAATTTTCGCAGTTTCTTATAGTTTTCACGTAGCTGCCGGCAGTAAATTGATTAAAGTGTTTACCTACACTTTCTATGGCTATTTGTCTACAAAATCCTGCTCTCCATCAAAACTATGCCCGGAATTTGAGGCCCATAAAGCCGCGGCAAAAACGTGATAGCGCGCCCGGGCCCATCATGACAAAACCCCGTTCCTGCGCTTGTGTTATCGATAGTGCCCCCTTTTTGGCCGGGGCTTCTCCCCTACTACTGCTAGGCATAAAATACGCGTTTACTCCCCAGTAAGCTGTAATTAATTTTCGGGAATATGGATCGCGAGATACGCTGTGAGTTTCGGCTTTTTAGAATGGTTCTTGGACTTCAAATAATACGTTTTTTGAGTTTTAGAAAAACTTACCGGATTTATAACATATTCTTAGGCACTTTTATTTTGAAGTCGAGTCCTTATGTTTAAAAATCTAAATTTCTTAGTTGTAAATTTTTGCTATCAAATTTACGAAGTTCATAACCTAATTTTCGATTCTTTTAGAACCAACCCGAAAATTTACAAACGTATATTTTATTTTTGAAGAAAACGATATCTTTATGTACGTTATAAGATATTTTTACACACTTTTAAAACCAATCCAAGGGTTTAAAAACCTGTATTTTTGATTTCAAACTTTAATGTTGATTTCGGAGTTCTCAAATCTAATTTTAGGGTTTCTAAGGTGGTTTCTAAGGCCGTTTAAAAAAACTAAAAGGAAAGGCTTTAAAAAAGGAAACTACGTTTAAAAGCCAGCCAGGTATAAAAACGAAAATATTCATTCCTTGATCGGTTTCTTCTTTTACGAAGCTTTTTCAGCAACAATGGACGCCATCAAGAAGAAGATGCAGGCGATGAAGATCGAGAAGGTTTGTTTTAGCGGGTTTTGCGCTTTGTTTGATAGTTTTAAACGTTTTTCTTTTCTAGCCGTTCCCAATTCGTTTTTGTCATTTGGCGAAACTTTTCTGGGGAGCGCCGAGCGCCCGAATGTTGTCGGAGGCCGACTCATTTTGTTTTTGGATGACAAAGCATGGCTTGGGCACCCCGAGACAACCTCTTCGCGCTGGAATTGCGAATTTTTGGGCCTGGGAAATGATGGAGAAAGCGTTAGAAAGCAGAAAAAGCGGGTTGATCGATAGTTTAATAGAAGTTCACGAGATTTTCACGTTTTCAGCTTTTCTTAATCGAGAATGACATTTCGTTAGAATCGACGACCGAAAAGAAAGGAGGAGAAGAGGTTGAAAGCTCGAAAAGCCGAATAGTTTTTTTGGTGTTTAATGTAGTTTCCAAATTTCAACTTATTCTTTAAATAAAGAATTACTTGTAATAACTTATTAAAATCAATTGGATAATAGAAATCAATTTAATAAAGCTGCTAGCCGCCAAAATAAGGGTGAAATCGACCATTTGTGTGGATTTTCAGGCGAGAATGACCTATTAGCCACAG